CGGGCAGCAACCCCGGCCGCGGCAGCCCGGCTCCCGGGGAGCGCGCCCCGCCATGGAGCCTTCGCACAAAGACGCTGAGACGGCGGCGGCGGCGGCGGCGGCGGTGGCGGCGGCAGACCCCCGGGGGGCGTCCTCGTCCAGCGGGGTGGTGGTGCAGGTCCGCGAGAAGAAGGGTCCTCTGCGCGCCGCCATCCCCTACATGCCCTTCCCAGTGGCGGTCATCTGCCTCTTCCTCAACACTTTCGTGCCGGGACTGGGTAAGTGGCGGCGGCCGCGACCCCTGCGCCCTGGGCCCCGCCGTGGGAGGGCGGGCAGGGGAGGGGCCGGGGAGGGACCCTCGGGCGGCGCCCACGGGCGGCAAGTGCTGCGCCCGCGCGCCGGCCCGCGCTCCCAGCGCCCCCTGGCAGGAGGCAGGAGCGCGTGGAGCGGGCGTCCGGGAGGGAGGCGCCGCGCGGGGCTCTGGGACCCGCATGTCACCTTCTCCCACCCGTGGGCGAGGCTGTGCGGCCCGGAAGAGCCGGAAACTTTGCCGGGAATGTTGGAGCCCGCGGGCGGCGGCCCGGACGGCTCCGCTGGCCCCAGCGAGGCTCCCCTCCAGGCGCCCCGAAATCCTGCCCTTCTCTTCGCCGCGCCCCTTTCTCCTAGGGGCGCGGGGCTCCAGCAGGAGGAGCAATGGGGCCGCCGGGCGTTGGACAAGCGGGCCGAACGAGGGGAAGGGGGGACCAGCCGAGCTTAGGAGACACCCCTCAGCCCCGACTGTGTGCGCAGGGTGCGGACCGTGTGGGGGCGAGCGCTCTTTAGCCAGTCTCCTCCACCTCCTTCCGGAGTGCCTGCGATTCCGCCAGCACCCCCGCAGGGCGCCAAGGGGATGGGGGATGATTTTATTAGTTTGGATGCCTGTGGGTTTGAGCCGACTTGGCCAGAGGTGACCCCATAACTCCCTCCCATTCCTTCCGTTCCTGAGAAAGTGGAGAGCGCGCCGATGTAATTCTGTGTCGGACTCGGGCTGCCTGGAGGGGCCCTGATGGCATCAGTATCCCACATTTTAAAACAGAGGCCTATCACAGAGATAAGGGTGCCGGGGGGTGCGAAGAGGAAGGGAACGAGAAGTTTTCCTGGCCCCCCTTCTCCTATCCCCACCCCCAAATCTCTGTCTGCACGCTCTCCCCCCACTCCCAGCTTGCTGGCTTGGCACCGGCCCGTCTTTCGTGCAGGGACTGGAGAGGCAGGCACCTCTGTGTCCCCTCCAGGAGAAAGCCTGCCCCAGTTGCCAGCGTATGGCTCCCAGTTCCCAAGCGGTCAGCTGGAAGTGGTTTTCTGTTTTCCTTTGGCTTTTCTCACGGCCTCACTCTCGGCCAGCTTAGCAGGGTCCTCTGCAGCGGTGATAGCGAAGGTCACACCCACTCCCGCAAGACGTGCTCACTTTCCCCTGGTGCTCTTTCTGCCCCAGGGTGGGGGGCTGCTGTGGCCAGAGCAGCCTATCTGTCTGAGCAGGAGGTTAGGTGGGCTTCAGTGTGTTTGCCCCTTCCAGGATGCCTCCAGCAGCCGACTTCTCTAGACGGAGTCGTCAGGCCGGCCCTCTTTGCACATTCAGACAGTGTAAGGAGGCCAGCCGATGTTAATTTTATTGTCTCAGAAATTCCCACCTGCTGGAGTACAAACACACTGCCTGCCCATCTCTCTGGGGATGTGAAAATCGTGTGCAAGGATTCTAGTTCTTTAAAAGTGGCGAAGTAAATGCCATCCTATGGGCTTCTGAGGAAACAAACACATTGGTGCCAGGTGGGAGGGGCTGCACCAAGTTGCAGCCAGGCGAGGGAACCACCCCTGTGGGCGAGCACCACCCCCCAAGGCAGTAGCTGCCCACCTGTGCACCTGTGCATGCCCCCCTGGCTCTCACCTCACCAGGCACCTTTCCCCCCTTAGCCCTGCTGCCACTCCCCCTGGTCCGCTGCCCTCCGCCCCCTGCCCTGGGGACCCAGCATTCCCCTCTTCACGCTTGCCTTTGTTAGATCAGAATCCTAAAGGGATTTGGGTAAGAAACTTTTCTAAGAAGCCAGGAGAAAATAAGCAAGCTCCCAAAGTAGTAAAACAGGAGAGCCATGCATGGACAGACTTCTGAATTTTCAATGACCGAATGCAGGCATTTTCCCGTTTTGTTTTGGTTGTCATTGTACATTGTCCTGGGTGCACAGGCCCCTGCCCCTCTCCACTGAAGGGGGTTCCAGATCCTTGGGTGTGTTTCTCATCTGTGAGTCAGGGATGCCTGTGTCTCTGGTTGCCGGGAGGATGGAGTGAGATTGCTGAAGCCCAGGGTCTGGCACGTAGGAAGTGCTCCGGAGATGGGGGGGGTCCCTCTTGTGCTGCTCTTCTGCAGAGCTGAGCACTGGCCCCATCTCTGGGTGTGTGTGGACGTGACCTTCGGGACCTTTTCTTCTGAGTGCTTGTTGATCTCTCTGCTCCCCTCAACCTGCAGTGGAGTCCTGGACAGCAAAGCTAACCAGGCAAAACTCACAGGCATTTTTTTGCCCCCCAGCAGTGGTATGAATGGCCCCAGCTCTTAGAAATCCTCCCCTGAGGCCACACCCACGTCTCCAGGTCCTCCTGGCTTGTCTGAAGCTCCTGCTAAAACTGAATGTTGGGGCCGGCTCCGTGGCTTGGCGGTTGGGTGCGCGCGCTCTGATGCTGGCGGCCCGGGTTCGGATCCCGGGAGCGCCCCGAGGCACCACTTCTCCGTCCAACGCGAGGCCGAGTCCCACGTACAGCAACTAGAAGGATGTGAACCTATGACATACAACTATCTACTAGGGCTTTGGGGGGAAAAAACTGAATAAATAAAATCTTTAAAAAAAAAACTGAATGTTGACCTCTGACTCTGCCCTTTGATGAAATGCAGCTTCTTTCAATCCATTCACTCATTCATTCAACAAACACAGTGCAGTCACCACACACTGGGGATGTAGGGATGAATAAATCAGTCAAGATGTCATAGAGCGTTGAGGAAAATTGATGCAAATTTTGTTTAAATTTGATCCGTGCTATGTTTTAGCAGGAATTACTTCTTCCTGGGTGGGGTGGAGGTTCTGAGAAAGGCTCCCAGAGGGAGTAGCATTAGGTGAGCTCCTGCTGAGAATATCCATTACACGGCCGGAGCACTCACCATCCTCACTTCACCCCCACTCTCTGGAAAAAGGTCAGACCACTGGACCAAAAATCTTTTCTTTTTTCTGGACTCTTTCTTCCCTGCAAGTCTTCTCCTCATTTGCAAATTGGACCAGAGCGCTAGCATTGGGCTGCATGAAGCCTTGTTTTTTTCTCTGATGTAGGTGTTGCAGGTCCCTCCAGTCTGTAGGTACCTTCTCAATGGAAGCAACAGTGTCGTCAGGATAACCCTCATACTCTAAGAAGAATGTTTCCTCTGCTGGAGAGTGAATGGGAAGGAGAAGTGATTTACGATCACTTTGACTCCTCACTGGAATAAACAAAGCAAATTTAAAAAACAGATGATGGTAAAGAGAGTTGCTCCCAGTCCTATTCAGCGAAATTCTATTAATAAAGACCACTGCCGGTACCTTCCTTCATAGTCCAACAAGCAGGGCGTTTATAAGTATATACACAATTATTCATAAATGTCATGAAAATTCATTGTTATGACCCAAAGTGGCCAGAGAGCATGTCTGTTGGTCAGGGTCAAAGTTATACTTTCATATTTAAAAATTATATCTAACTTGATTGACTTAGTGGATAAGTTGATAACTCAGATAGTGACAAGGAGAGTGGGAAGGAGGAGAACTTCCATTGATGATTAACCATTCCCTCATGACCAGACGAATGTTGGCCATTAATCTACTATTGAATGTTCATAAATATTTAATCTATTCCTAATACACTGCCTACTCTCTGACGCTCAACTGGAGTCTTGCTTCCCCAGTAAGAGCACCACACACAGCCTGGCTCACCTTCTCTTTCCTCTAGGCCTGAGGCTGGAATTGGTGATTAATCATGCCCTACCTTGTGGCACCTTTTATATTTTTGAGTTTTTGTTACTGTTTCAAGAGTTTATTCTTTGTCTATCTAAATAGATTATAAGTTCCTTAAGAGCAGGAACCATTTAAAATTTCTCCATGATATAGTATGTTATTTATAATACATATTGACTAGCATTATCCTCCTGGAATAGGCATTAGAGATCATCTGGTCCAACGCCTTTATTTTATGTATAAGTGAGGCAGGCATGAGGGTGCAAGGACCAAGGAAGTTTACATCCTACTCAACCTTTTTAAGGAAGTTATTTGAGGATGTATTTTAGCAAAACAAGAGAGTAAACCAAGAAAGAAGATATAAGACCCAGGAAATAATGGATCCAGTTCAGGGCAGCCATGAAAAGCAACCCCAGGATAAAATTGTTCAGCAGGCCTGGAGAGCAGTCAGTCTTCATTATAGTGGGAGGATGGAAGGCTCCAGGAAAGAGGTCTCTGAGGATGGTGTGAGAAGGGGACATTCCACAGAGTAGAGACTATTATTGGGATGTTGCAAGAAATTAAAGTTGTGAGAAAAAACAGAAAGCAAGCAAGAAAATCAGAATGCAGTCAATAACTTCAGTAAAGACAAAAAGCTATGCAAGCATTAAGATCCAAAAATGAAGCAACATACCCCATTAGATCAGGAGGTCAGCAGATTTCAAAAAGAAGAGTAGAAAGATTCCAAACAATAAATGGAATGAGACAGACTTTAAGGATATTAGGGATATGGTGTAGAAGGCGCATATTTCTTCAACAAGAAAAAAGAGAGGTAATCAGCAACTTAAGGAAAAACAAAAGTTTTTTAATGAAAGGCATAGCTCAAATATGAAGCAAATAAAAACGTGGCCTGATTTTGAGCAAGTGGCAGAATGTAAGAAAGGCTCGTAAGTGCATAGATCTGTATCGTTGGAACAGTGGTACACGATATGGGCTCTTAGCTTCTCTTTGACTCTGCAGTGAAGAATATTTGCTTAGTCATAATAATATAAATGCTGCTCAGTGGTTTTCAGTTTCAACCAACCACAGACAAGGTACTAAAGACTACTTAATTAATAATGGCTATAAAGGAGGACGTAAAGGTTTTCCACCTTGACAATATAAAACGAAGTTGTCAGGTGGAAGACAAGAGAAGCAGAATTGTGATAGATTAAATTGTTCTTCCCAGTTATTCACTGTCCTCCCTGAAAGAGGATCGCACATCCTCACCTGATGCCTTGTGGCTTGCCACACTTCCT